AAAAAAAAAAAAAAAATTGGTCAAGTTGAGTTTAACGAACAAGAAAAAATGTATATTTTTTTTTACAGACGAAAGGCTTAATGATATTGTTGGAAGTGCTTATTACGTAGCTCCCGAGGTTCTGCATAGATCGTACGGTACAGAGGCCGATATGTGGAGTATTGGTGTTATTTCATATATTCTTTTATGTGGGAGCCGGCCATTTTGGTCAAGGACAGAATCTGGAATCTTCCGGGCCGTTCTAAAGGCCGACCCAAGTTTTGATGAAGCTCCTTGGCCCGATTTGTCTCGTGATGCCATAGATTTTGTGAAACGATTATTGAATAAGGACTATCGTAAGAGACTAACAGCTGCACAGGCTCTAAGTAAGTGTTTTACATAAAAAGAAAAATAGTGTTAATGACATCAAGAAGTAGATATAAAAAGGATCCGGCTAAATAGCATTTTTAGTCCTGCTGGTTTAATGCTATAGCATTTTTAGTCCCATGATTCTAACATTCGCCTTTTGGTCCTGTGATTTAATATTTTGTTGCAATTTCAGTCCTCCAATTACTGAAATTGCAACAAAATTTTAAATTATAGGACTTAAATTGCTAATAAAAAATCTATAAATTTGGGAATTTGTTGCAATTTCAGTCATTTGGCAAAATATTAAAAATCATACGAACAAAAGGTGAAAGTAGAACCTTTCGACTAAAATTACTATTGCGTTAAACCAACAAGACTAAAAATGCATTTTTGCCAAAAGGATAAGTAGCTTTGGAGGGTGTGGTTCTCTCTTTGGAGAGCTTGGTTTATGAAGTAGAAATAAAAGATAAGAGATAACTATAATTTTGGAAAATAGATAAAAAAAAAATTAATTAGAGTAAAATGCATTTTTGATTCGTAGTTGATGCTGAATGTTCTTACATGCATATGAATACATGAGATCTATAGCCTAATTACATCAATAATTTTTGAACTAGTCTTAAGGGAATCTTTTCTATTTATTCCTTAATTGTTAGGCGTATGATTTTTAGGTGGCCGAAATCTTTATCTTGAATTTATTTATACTTTATTCTACTCTACCTCATTGATATTCAGAAGTATTGTTAGAGGAATATATATTATAATGAAATGCCTTACTGGCTTTCATCAATGCAACAAAAATACGATACGAGGCTATGTTTTAGCGTTTGTTTTCTTTTTTTTTTATTTTTTTTTTCAATATTGCATACTAATAACATCATACTGTAATGTTCTAGGTCATCCATGGCTGGTCGGATATCATGACGTGAAAATTCCTCTGGATATGATAATATATAGGCTCGTAAAGGCTTATATTTGTTCTTCTTCTTTGAGAAAGGCTGCTTTAGGGGTGTGTATTCATTAGCTGCTTTTATTTTTGCTTCATTTCTTTTCGGTTCTACTCATTTTCTCCTAAGATTTTCAGAAGAATACTAGATTTTTTTGTGCTGAAAAAAATTATCTTCGTATAGTTTTGGCAAAGATAAGAACTCGTATTCTGCTTTTTATGATAGGCTCTGGCTAAAACATTGACGATACCTCAACTAGCCTATCTTCGGGAACAGTTCACACTACTAGGGCCGAGTAAAAGTGGATTTATATCACTCAACAACTTCAAATTGGTCAGTTTCCTCTCGCTCTCTACAAATATAGCCTAAATTGCAATTTTGGTCCTATTAAATTATGAAGTTAGCAATTTAGGACCCCCTGGAGCGACATTAGTAATTTAAGTCCAACAAAATTTTAAATTACAGACTTGATTGCTAATCAATATTCAATCCCAAATATATAAATTGGGAATTTTGAAATTGCAGCAAAATTTTAAAATTTCAGGACTTAAAATGCTATATTTCACTCCAGCTAAATCCAAATTGCTACTTTCATAATCTAATAAGTCCAAATTTGCAATTTAGCCACAAATGTATATAATGTGTGTGCGTGTATAGTGTTTACTTGCACCAAAGCTGCCAATTGACTTACATTGACTTTACAGGCTATGACAAAGAACTCGACTGATGCAACGAAGGATTCACGAGTTCTAGATTATGTCAATGTGGTAATTTTATTTTATTTTATTTTTTTTTCGGTGGGCATTTTGGAACTGCGGATGTAATTATTATTATTATTTTTTTTTTTTATATTTTTTTTAGCAATTCTGAAAGATAACAATAGTGAATTTTTATCCTTTTGTCCCATGTCTCATGCAGGTGAGTTCTCTTCAGTACAAAAAATTCGATTTCGAGGAATTTTGTGCTGCCGCAATAAGCGTGCATCAACTCGAAGGACTTGACAGCTGGGAACAACATGCACGCGGTGCATATGAATTTTTCGAGAAAGATGGAAACCGGCCAATCATGATCGAGGAACTTGCCTCTGTATGCTCTCTCTCTCTCTCTCTCACGCATCATCGCATGCCGTATATTTGATATTCATTGTGTATCAACCATGACAATTTTATGATTTTTTTTTTGTTTGGCTAAATTGCAATTTTTTATAGGTCCAATTAGAGTGACATTATCTTTTAATGCAACTTTTTAAGTCATGTGAATTAATAATTTTATGCAATTTCAGTCATTTGGTTGTCGAAATTCCCAATTTATATATTTGGGATGAATTTTGATTCGCAATATAAGTCCTGTAGTTTAAAGTTTTGCTGCAATTTAAGTCATTTTGACCGTCAAAATCGGTCAAAAAGACTGAGGTTGTAGCAAAATTTTAAATTACAAATGGGACCTATATTTCTAGAACCAAAATTGCAATTCGGCCTTATTTTTTCCCAAAGAAATTAAACTGCATTGTCTAAGCAAGAACAAACCTAAGTGACGGTCAAAAGGATTGAAATTGCAGCAAAATTTTAAATTATAGAACTTAAATTGCAATATTTTTCTCTAGTGGGACCTAAATAGCAGCTTTCATAACCTGACCTGATAGGACAAAAATTACAATTTAGCCTTATTTTTTCTCAAATGGAATGGAAATGCATTATTCTAAGCAAGCACAAACCTAAGGTTTCTTGTTCCAATTTCAATTCCACTTATCCTCATGAACTTGATGCAAGGGAGTTTAACTTTTCTTTTTTTCCAATGTTTTCGTGCGGTATTTTCCATTTGTAACACATTCGAGAAATATGTCTTGTTCATTTTGTTTTTTCATCCCTGACATTCGCCTTTTTCTTTTTGTTTTTTCGGGAGTAAAGGAACTCGGGCTTAGTCCATCTGTACCTGTACACGTGGTGCTGCAAGATTGGATAAGGCACTCGGATGGGAAGCTCAGCTTCTTGGGTTTCGTGAGACTCGTGCATGGAGTTTCCTCACGTTCGTTTCAGAAGGCCCCTTAAATTTGCTCGATTAAGATCATGTACCTGGAATAAAAAAATAAATTTAAAAGAAAAATGGTAGCGAAAAAAACATATTTGGAGCGACTTTTAGCAGAAATCGATTCGGAGCGTGTCGTTATCTTTGTACTTCAAAAAAAAAAAAAAAATCTTTTCTTGGTTTTATTGTTGGCAGTGAGATTATTAGCAGATTGTACAGGGTTTGGGTAGATCACATAAATATGTACTATTTAAGACGGATGAAATTTTTTAAGTGTTTTTTTGTAGATTCCTTGTCCACATGATGTTGGTTATTTTAGTTAATTTTGTAGTAGTTGAGTAGATTGTAGAGTAATGTACTAAAAGTCAAATACTATAAAGTGCAAGAAAAGTATAAATAATTTATTAAAATCAAATTGAGATATATTCTGTTGTCTTATCAATTCGAATACGAATCATAAATTAAATTTGATAATGAATTAAATACAAATACGAGTAGTCGGATTTTTTTAATTTGAATTAAATAGTTGGGTATTCATTTCGATGAGGTCCGTTTACAACCTTATTCGGCTCAACTAAGTTTGACTCGGTTTGGAAGGACAAGTTGGCTTGGACTGTCGTCTTAAAGCCATGTAAATTTGGTTCGACTAGGTGTAACTCAGTTATGGAGGCCAAGTTGGCTTGACTGTCATCATAGAGTCACGTCAAATTGGTCTGACCCAGTGTGACTCGGCTCTCGAGACCAGGTTGGCTTGGATTGTCATATTAAAGCCGCAACAAATAGGTTAATTGAATTTTTAAAGACGGGTGTACTTGGGTACAAATATATCTAATTAACGGGAAATGCTACGGTCCCGTTACGGAATTATTCCGTCAGAATTTGTAACCGTTAGATCATCTTGTAATCAACAGAAATAGTTGATCTAACTGTTACAAATCCCGATGCAATGATTCCATAACGGGACCGTAGCATCTCCCCTAATTAACATGAGTTTTATTTATTAACCAACGGTTAATTCATTTCAATAAAAGTATTTTGGGGGAAAATAAAGTAAAAAAGCGCCAAAATTGCTCAGAAGTCAGAAATGTAGTAACAATAATACTGTACTAATAAATATACAGAGGTGACGTCTGATAATGGAAGCAAAACAAAAAACCCATATTCTGCAAATCCCAATTCACTGTTTTTTTTTTTTTTTTTTT